ATATATATATATATATATATATATATATATATATATATATATATATATATATATATATATATATATATGTTGTGTTATGATATGAAAGTGATATGAAATATGTTATGGAGATATGTGATAAAATTGACATGTTCATGATATGATATATTGTGATGCGATATATTATGGTATGAGATGTATATGAGGAGATGTTAGGTTAAAAGCATGAAACATTATGTTATGTCTCTTAAATTGTATGTATAAAGCATGATATGAATGACATGAAATATAACTCCGATAGATTTATGTATGATATGAGAACGGAAAAATGAGAAATGATATGATATGAATGATAAACGATATGTGAAATGATATGATATGTATAGAACGCTAGAGGGGTTATATTTAATAATGTTGAAAACGGAAAAATATTGGGACCTCATGCATGTGTGCTCATGCATTGGGAGATACCTCTATTTTATTACGAGGGTACGGACACATACACCACTAGGCAGGTGATATATCATTATGTTTTACATAATGCTGCCATGACGATTACTAATTCTAATGAGTTTCCGGCATAAGGAGCTACCAGAGCAGGCTCGCCCGACAAGAAAAGGGTCCCAGCAGTGTACGGACCGTCTAGTGAGCCCATACTCACACGTCTAGGCTGTGTGTAGAGTATATGGTACACATCCAAGCTACCCAATAGGATAATGTCGTAGGAAAAGAGACTGATATGATAGGTCCCGTCATTTCATTCACATATTCTTGCATTTAACCTGTAACGACCCTAAATTTCCACATATCCAGAGTCGCCACTCACGTCTCATGCTCATCTCTAATGCAGAATAAAATCTAAGCATGCTCATTATTAATAGCGGAAAAATTTAAAACTTCAGAATACATTAAAACTTTGGAAAACACTGCCGGACTTACGTGTTTCAAACATTGAGCTAGAGTTCCAAAAAGAAAAGAAAATAAAATAAAACGACTACAAATTAATTAATATAAATGAATGAAATGCAAGCCCTATTCTAACTAAGACTAGGAATTAAATATGCACCTATCCTATGCACGCGCCACAGTCTCTGATCGCGATGCCACCGTCAACCGTACATGGGCGCCTTGCCTTTACCTGAAAAAAACAATATGGCACACGGCCTGAGTATTTCGAAGAAATACTCAGTAAGTGACCCCACTATAGGGGCCATGCTAATGCAAACACATGCAATCATGAATAGGGACCTATCTCTAA